TAAATAGAAATTCTGGCAATAACGGGTGGTAAGCGGGGACATAAGCTCACGCTCCAATTATGCCTACGTATCTGTGGTATGTAGAAGAAGAAGAAGATATATAGAAGAAGATATAAGTGCCCTAGAAGAGAGAAGTGGTGGGCAGAGATGCTGTCAAAACATATGTTACATGGCGTCATGGAAACACTTTTTCAATCCATTGTTCAATAGACGTTCGCGTGTTTTGGACGACCATCGTACGGATAAGGCTCAGTTTCATTCCATTTAAGTGACCGAATTAGGGGGTCACAAACGAACCTCATTGATCTCATTGTTGTTAACAACAATGCGCTCAACGTTATACAACCTTTACAACGGAAGTAAGCTACCATTTTACGTACATATTCATGTTTTATTGATTTTGAAGAAAATTACGAGTTGAGCAGAGTTTGGTACTGTTACGCACAGATTCACTAGTAATGATGAATGATTTTAGACTGGAGTAAAGAGTTATTGCATTCACTTGTGTCGATTATCGAACAGATGGGAGCTCCAATTTACCTTACCTATCTACTTTACTCCCTCCTGTATTCTCTTGCCATGGAAACAAAAATTGTTGCAACTCCACCGACTACAAATCGACAATTTGAAGCATTAAGCGCTGTACCGACGTGACCGTAAAATCATTTTCCTGGAGGCGGAAAAGGCCTAGTTATGAGCTAAGCCTATTACGATTGCATGTTGGCGCTAGATGACATCCTGCCGGATTAGCCGCACATTGCGTGGCAGGTCTGCAGTTACTACGCCTGCCTTACGATTTCCCCGTGCTGGTCTCAGGCAGGATGTTCGCTCAGTACGAGTATAACGTGCCTAGGCAGTTTCCATGGTGAGGAATGTCTGCGCGAACCGAAAGAAAGGTGCGGGGATATTCGACCCAATCATCTATATAATAACTTTATGGATTAGGTACATCGATCCTGACTTTGGCCTCACACACGTGGAAGAAGAGGACTGTATTGCACTTTTTCTGCTTTTTTTCACTAAGTACTCTCGTAAAAAGCAGGGAATCGCAAGGAGACTTTCAGTTGCCTCGGGTTTATAAACTTTACAGCTACCATTAAGTTTGTATGATCCTGACCCAAATGACATCTGACCTGCGTCCTCTTTCTCGAGGTCATCCGAACAGCTGGGGGGAGCGGGGTGCGATCGACCCCACCCCTATACGCTAGCTGCAGTGAAAACGCCCATATGGGCGTTTATGTAATGCTGGTAGGGCGTCGATGTGGTACAGCAGTTTGCCTGTGTGTGCAGGTGTGCGCTATATGTAGGCGTATGATTATGTACCCCACGTTTGTTTAACCGTCGCGGCTTCAACCAAATGGGATGATGTAATTTCTAGAGTGTTTGTGACCATCTAGAGATCGCTGAAGGAAGTTATTGACATTTTGCTTTTTTCCATTCTTGGGAAACGTAGCCGCTATTTTTTCTCATTTCCTGTGGGGACAGCCCATCGAGTAATGACATAAGTGGGAACCATTCTTTAGTAATTGTAAATCAATATACAATATACATGTAGAAAGCATCTGGCAATCGGCACCCGGAGGTCAAATATCAAACACTCGGCACCCAGAAGTCAAATGCCAAATAGTCGCTACGCAGTAGTCAGATCTCAGATAGGTACCCGGTTAGAACCCAGTGTTCGAGCATCAGACGCTCGGTACCCGTCCGTCAGACATCGCGCGCCGTCAGACATCAGCCGCCCGACACCGTCGTCTGCAGCGGCCCGCCGTCCGCCGCTGCCGCCCAGGTGTTGTGCACTGGCACACCTGCACGCGTGCAGCGTTGCCGGCGGCGGTCCGCGTGGGCGCGCCGTCCGTGGCACCTCTGGCGGCCTTGGGCGGCCGGTTGGTAACGGCGCTGCCGCTGGCTGACGGCCGCTGCCGGTCGGCGCTGGTTACCGATCGATGGTGGCCGCCTCAGGGCAGGAAGTAGGTCGGCGCACCGCCGCCGGCTCGATACCCCCCGCTGTGCGTGAGTGGCCGCCCCCGTACGACCGGCCCGAGCGGCGCCCGCCCTCAGGTCGCCGCTCCGCTCCGCTCCCGGGCGCGCCGGACGCGGCTGCCGTCACCCCGGGCGGCGCGGCGTCTCGAGCGGACCCGCTGCGGCCGCGGCGGTCGGCCGGACCGGCGCGGCGGCACCGCCCGCAACGACGGACGTCCGGTTAGCCGGGTCAAGGCCGTGGCGCGCGGCGCCGGCCGAGGAGGCCCGGATCAGCCGCCGACGGCCCGGCCCAGCGCAGCGGGATCACGTGACCGGGCTGGCGGGCCTATCTGGGTCATCTCTGCGGAGGAGCCGCCGGCCGGCGGAGCCACGGCGTGTGAAGGACGCGGCCCGCCCCTGCCGCCCCGCCCCGCCCCTCCCCCCGAGAAGACCGACCACCGGTTCCGGTAGGCGACAGGGAAGCCGACCGACGGCGAAAACCCAGCGCGGCGGGTGAGGAGGCCGTTAGCAAACGGGGAGTCTACCGGAGAGCCGCCAGCTCTTATCGAAACACATTCTGGTTACGTAACGATGATGACGAGCCACTCGGCTAGTCATCGTCGATTTGCTCATGGAGACAGGAGGGCACCGAAGCATTCACAAATGATGTACAATGTACATGTTGAATATCGAGTTTGATGCTGGATGCAATGCATAGATGTCCATTGGATAAGGCTGTTTAGAATAAAAGGTTTTCAAGTTTAACCCTATTCCTGGCGGGGGGGGGCCTCAGGAGCCCCCCCCCTGAGGTTTTTTGGTTATATCTCCCAAACGCGTTGAGCTAGGAAGCTCAAATTTTCTGACTTTTCCTAAAAGGCTTCTACGCAACATGTCTGAAAATTTTGAGTTGATCTGACCTCAGGTCAGGTCACCAGAGGCGGTTTGGTGACGCTACCTCAGAAAAGTTTGCAATCACGCCAGAGCTAGAGTTTTTGACCGATCAATTTCTTCTCTTCAGGGTTTAGTTAGGGTACCAGTATGTGCAATTTGTATATCTCGGAATTTTGATATCGGTGACCTAAGGTCAGGTCAATTTCGCGACCTACCCATTATAAGTCAATGGGGGAAAAATCAACTCCCTGTTTTTACCACTAAAACGGGTCGGAATGGCCCCATATACCATACATGACTTCATATACGATCAACCTTCACTACCTTGAGGTCTGTTTTGCTGTTGGGCAGCTGTGAGGTCATGTGACGTCATCAAAGGTCACTAAAGGTTTTTGGCCAATAACTCCGTACAGGAACAAGATACAGACGCGTGGATGGTCTCATTGTGTTCAGCTCGTCAAGACGCATCGAATGATATATATGATGACCTCGAGGTCACGTGACCTGAGGTCAACCTTTGACCTTGACCTTTCGAGGTCAACATATATATCATTCGATGCGGATTGACGAGAGGATCACGATGATGCCCTTAGTTTGTTCCTATCTTGACTAATTCGAAAGTTATTCGAGAAAAACTCTCTCCATATGTAGTGCCGCCATTTTGACTTTTTCGACCCCTGTGACGTCATCTTTGACCTGACCTGAAAATGACCTGAGTAAAAATTGTAGATCTTGGCCGTGCGTATCCGATGCCGTTTACCGCTTGTCGCTATCTTGCTTCGTTCTCGAGATCTCAGGGGGGGGCCGAATCGGCCCCCCCCCGCCAGTTTCTTGTCCCGGCGGAGCCCGCCAGGAATAGGGTTAAGAGAAAGGATTCAGGTCGAAGGGATGATAAAATTCTGGAGACCGTTAATAATGCGGTTGAATTCGATACCATTTAATTTCGATGGCAGTAGTCACTTGTCGTTCGCTCTGGTGGAAAATAGGCACTTACAACAAGTAACCTATTGGGTTTGATGGATCTAGAGAAACGGCATCGGACGTGTGAGAGAAAAAGTTTTCCAAGACGTTTCTGTTTTCAAAAACTCAGACATCGCTTCCAATTACTCGGGCGTCTAGCATTGATTCTACCGAATAGCTGGTTCATACCTATGTTCAGGATTGTGGGCAATAATGCATGCGATCAGCACTGACCGGAGATTGTGATGGAGCCCCAAAGTGCTGGTGTCCCAGGTCCCTGCCAGAGAATGTGAGTCGTTGCTAACCGGTGGATCTGAACCTGATGCCGCTAGGCGCTAGTAGGTAGAGGTTGTGACTTGTGATGATCCCATGAGGGCTCTATGATGTTCATGTCAAAGATGTGATGCCGTGCTATTAACAGCTGTAGCTTGCACTTGTGATGTCTATGTCGGAGGGATTTTTCTATCGGAGGTTTATGTAGAGGCCCCTTCCTTTTTATCATGCGATGCCACTATTCGGAAGGAGATGCCTACTTTTTCTGGGAATGCCTTGACCATCACCCCTACCCATGTTTCTCGCTATTCAAAGCATGAGAACTGATAAGTTTTTTTGAAATCTAGGCGAGATAACTGACACGATGCTTGACGCTGCGAAGACATTGCGTGTCACCAATGCCGCCTGAGATCTCGATCCGCAAGCACACAGAAATTCGGCTACCTGAATAAACGAAAAATTATCTATCAAGCATTTGTTTAGCTTGCATGCTCGATAGTCGGATGCTACCAGCATTGACGATGTCGGTATTGTAAGCTCTCGGATTCCTACTCCGAGTATTGCGGTACAGTATGCTACCAGGCGTTGACGACTACTGCCATCTAGTGGCAATATTAAAAGCAGTGGAGTCGTTTGAGGTACTCCTTTCTAAGACGAATATAATGATAAGCTGAGTGATGCTCTGAGGTCAACATAAATAAAAGGTAGCTCTGAATCTGTTTTCAATGTTTCAAACTAGAAACACATTTTTATAATAGTAAAACATCAACTATAACCAAAAATTTACACACAAGTTTGAAAAACAAAGGAATGCTTGCTACATTGACGTCATATTCTGGTCTGACCTTCGGCAGCTTGTGATAATTTTTTACATTCCTGGCGCACTGGCGCGTTTATGCGTTTATGTGCAATTTTACAGATCGTTCGCAGTTACGGGAGCGGAAGGACGTGTGATCGGAAAGCTCTTGATTGTGATCGGCGAGGCCGGGAAGAAGGAAGAGGACTTTTTAAGTCCAATTTGTTTTTGTTTATTCAATTCTTTTGGAGAAGCATCCATTTTTCTTTTTCTTCCATTTCGTTTTGATTAATTGTCGGGTGGAAGCTCGGCCACGTGGTGAGTCACAATCGCCTCAATGAGTGATTGGGATCCATAGAGGCCTCCACGGAGGCCGGTGGATGACGTCACGGAAAATGCCGCCGGGCGCAGTCAGCTGCTGGTAGGCAAAACATTCCGTGGTAGGCGTTGCGCCACTATAGGGTGCGGCGGGAATTCGAGAGGATGGTGGAGGTTAATCACGTTTTATCGTGAAAAATGCCGACTTCTTGTGCTGCTTATGGTTGCACTTCTCGCTCTGGAAAAGATAAGGTGTCTTTTTATCGGTTCCCCAAAGATAATGACCGGTTGAATGCTTGGGTACGTGCTACCAGGAGGAAAAACTTTGTGCCCGGCGCTGGGGCAAGGATATGCTCTAAGCATTTTATCACTGGTGAGTACCTAGTTAAAAAAAAAACTGTGTACATGTTTAATATGAATGTCATTTCTACGTCATACATAATTGTGGAGTCAAAATGCCACAATATTTTTGCATGGCATCTCAGGCTATCAAACATATTGTCTATGGTTTGTGAGTGAAAGTTGATCCACCACCTAGACAAATTTTGATATATTTATTCAATTACAGGGGCACCAGTCAGTGAGAAAGGGAGTCCTGACTGGGTACCAAGTGTCTTCAACTTCCCGTCATCTCAGCATGCCAGCAACGTTGGGATCGGCGGAGTGAAGAGAGCAGAAAGGGCCCAACAAAGATCAGCTCAGAAACAGCATGCGTCTCTCCACCTGTCGGCTTCATCTGGAGATCAAGATGAAATGTGTACAGCCGAAGAACCAGTGTCTCAGGTGAGCTACAAACATTGGCTACTTAGGTACCTACCAGTTCAACCAGTTTTCCTGGCACCAAGAAGTAGGTAACTATCTCTATTTTGTTGATAACAATGCCTACTTTTTGTTATCTTGCAGGTCAGCATTGAAGAGGCCAGAGCTGCAGAGGCACTGCTGGAGATGTCAGCAGCAACTGGCACCCGTGAGGTTGGCTGCAATACTGATGGTACATGGGGAGAAAACCACAAGACAGTCGTCTCAGCTCTACTTGATAGAATTCATAAGCTGGAGGCTGAAGTCACATCGTTGAAGGAGGAGTGTGAGCAGCTGTTGAACAGCAAAAAGCATAACTCATTTGAGACTTTGAAAGAGAATGAAGAGGAATTTAAATTTTATACCGGGTTCCCATCCCTAGCAATGTTCATGTGGTTTGTAAGGGTTCTTTGTCTGGGGTGCGACCTTAGCAAAATATCCAGGTTGTCTGTGCACAACATGGTTCTTATGGTGTTGATGAAGCTCAGGCTTGGGACAACCAATCAGGATCTTGCATGGCGTTTTGGTGTAAGCAGGTCCTTGGTATCAAAGATCGTTCAAGGAACCCTCAGTCCAATGGCTGCAATGTGCAGGAGGCTCATCATCTGGCCATCAAGGGAAAGCATACAGGCCAACCTCCCTCTCTGCTTCCGTTATCCCGAACTTCGAAAGGTCAGAGTGGTAGTTGACTGCTTTGAAATTTTTACAGACAGGCCAAGGCATCTCACATCCAGAAAGAAAATGTTCAGTTCCTACAAACACCATAACACATGCAAGGTTCTAATTGGTGTGTCACCAGCTGGGGCAATTACATTCTTGTCTCCAGTCTGGGGAGGTCGATCATCAGACAAAAAGATCACACTGTCATCTGAGCTCATTGACATCCTTGATCCATTCGATGTGGTGTTGGCGGACCGGGGGTTTACCGTTTCTACAGAAATGGCTCTGTACAATCTCAAAGTTTTGACACCAGCATTTGTTCGTGGTCAAGCCCAGCTTCCTAGGGCAGAAGTAGAGAAGTCTAGGCTTTTGTCTCGAGCTAGAATCCATGTTGAAAGAGTCATTGGTAGAATGAGAACGAAGTTTCGCATTCTGAAGTCTACATTGCCAGTCACCATGTACACGCAGGTAGATGATGTTGTTTGTGTGTGTGCAGGTATCATAAACCTGCATCCAAGTGTGGTTCCGTGAGATGCCCCAAAACTCCATGGAATGCATGATTAGATGGTACTAAGTGCTGGTAACATGCTCCGATCATGTATTGAAAACAAACTCAATTGAGTTTGTTTTCATGACAGTGACATTGTTGATGAATAAAACAGACTTGCAAATGATTTGTGTGAGGTCACAAACAGATGTTATAGTTCGTAATCAGCATCACCTGTAGCACCAGCATCACGCCATAACCCAAACCCTTGTTATAAAGATAAGCTAGCACAAAAGATATATTTGTCAGCCAGACAATGATGATCAATGCAGCCAGCATAGCAAAATCAACACGACCATCTGGTGTCAGTGACAGAACAACCTACATGTGCACTAATGGGCACCCGGCACAGTCGCTAGCTATGACATCACTTCAGGAGTGCTGGCACAATCTCTTTCACATAAAAGGTTTCAAGAACCTTCACCAGGTAGTCACCCATGCTCTCCATGTACTTTATCACCAGAACATGGGGCTTCTGCCCCGGCACATACACACAAAATGCACATGACTTTAGCCCACAGACCATCATCTGTCCCTGCACCTGCATCATGTACGGGTGCTCTGCTTTGAGGTGCCCATTCTCATCTAGAAACCCAGCCTCCTGCGGAGACTTGTCCTTCAGGCTAAAGGGGCACTTCACCTCCAGAACCCATGTCCCACAGCATGCACACTCAATGATACCATCTGGGGAGGCAGCCAGGTAGGGGTGGTCAGGGCTGACGAACAGCCCACACTTACGAATTGTCAGCTCACTATGCATAGAGCTCAGAACCCCTTCTACAGCAACACAAGCATCTGCCTCGTGTGTATGTCCCCAGACTACAGCAGGCACTGTAAGCTTACAGGACGCTGGCTCCACGATCTTACGCACCAATGATGCACTCTGTCGTCCCCCCTCGACATGGCTCACCACCTCACCAAACACTGAAGCAGTCACCCTTCCATGCCTCTGGTTAAGCCACTCCTTCGATCCTCCCTGATCCACAGTAGCTCGCTCGACGTTCCCTATCACATCACTAGGGTACATCTTCTTCAGTTTGTTAACCAGCATCTCACAGTACTTCCTCGATGGCTCAGCATCACTAGGAGCTATCTTCTTCAAGATGGAGAACATCTTGTAGATGGGATATGGCAGCTCAGTCCTGCCATCCACAACATCACCACTGACTGGCAGAGAGCTTTGCAGCGCACACCCAGCAGGCAGATCCTGCAGCTCTGTCTGAAATGCAGCATCAGACATGATGAACTCGACGCTGCTTCGCTTGGCAGGAATGCCCATGTCTGCTGCAATGTCAAGGACCTTGCTGGGCTCCACCTTCTTCGTAGCTGTCTGATGATTCCATTGACAGGCCTTGCTTGTTGGTGCATTCTCTGTCAGTCCGTGGAGTACGGCTGCTTGGATCTTGTAGAGCACACCTGCCACATGGCTGCACACTTCTCCAAGTCCTGCCATGCATTGGCAGTGGGCAGACATAACACTGCCATTGGGGTGGCAGAGCACCCATGCATTATACGACTTTGAAGCCGTCTGACTGGCCTGTACCTCTGCCTTCACGAAAACACCACTGGTATCCACTGAGCAGAGCTTGAGTGGGCCAACATGACTAGACAAAAACACATTCCAAGCATCTAGTGACTTGAAAGCTTTCAAGTTGTCGGACGTGAAAGTGCCAGAAGTGGAGACCAGATACGCAAATATATCTGGAAACAGCACGAGTGGGAGCTTCTCGAAACTGTCCGAGATCCAGTAGGCCTCATCGATCTTGTACGGATCAGGAAATACCTTCTCTCCCAGGCAGAGCTTTGCTTTGTATCGTGAGGAGTCGTACATCACGAACAAAAACACAAACTAGAGAAAAAACTATCGAAAACAGCTCTCACAATCCGATAAACCACGAGACGCCAGTGCAAATGGCCGCGATCGCCCGGTTTGTTTTGCCTACCAGTCAGCGTTGCCAGTTACGAAAAATAGTTTGTGACGTCACCGTGGAGGCCTCTATTGCGGAAGTGTAGGCTGGTGTGTAAATGATGGGGACACCCAGAGCTACAAAGAGGTCCAGAGTAGATAACATGAGAGAGACCTTTTGGGGTGATGAGGACTCGGGGTTATACCTGAGTGTCACCCTGAAGTCAGGGAGTCCGATCAAGGGTAAAGGCTGGCCTTGGGTTCAGACTTGCATTAGGGGCATCTTAGGAGGACAAGACCGAGTATCAAAGGCGACATTTCAGAATGATGGGAGTCTGTTGCTGAAAACAAAAAATGAAAGGCAATCTGACAGACTGCTGAAAGCGACAATGTTCGGAAGTGAGGAGTGCAGTGTTCAGAAAGCAGAGAAACTTAACACAAGCAAAGGCACTATCTATGCCTTTGACCTGACTGAACTTACCGAACAGGAGGTAGTGGGATGGCTCCAGGAGTTTGGAGTGGTTGGAGCGAAACGGGTGACAAGGAGGGTGGGAACTCACAGGGAAAACACCCCTCTGCTCATCTTGACATTTGACAAGCCAACGTGCCCAACACAACTACATTTTGATTATGTGTCCTATGAGGTGCGAAGGTACATTCCTAACCCTCTGCTCTGCAATCAGTGTGGCAAATATGGTCATGTTCAGGCCAAGTGCAAAAGTGTTGCCTTATGTCTGAAGTGTGGGGGTGAGAAACATGAAGGGGACTGCTCCCCCAAATGCATTAACTGTACTTCTGATGACAGACATCCTTGTTACTCCCACGACTGCCCAGTCTGGAGAAAGGAAAAGGAGGTGTGTGAAATCAAAGTAACACAGGATATTTCATACGCTCATGCTCGGAGGGAGTATGAGAAAAAGCACCAAAGACCCACAACACCGGCATATTCCACTATACTTCAGACATCACCGACCACACAGCAACAGAACCACCTGGATACTTCTCTGAGGGAGCGGGTTGTTGTACTGGAAACAAAGGTGGATAAGATGCTGTCCCTTCTCAACAAACTGGTGAGTCAGGCAGGGGTTAACACCTCTGATGAGACACTCCAGATCCCAAACCGAGAACCTGAACTGAGAGACTGTGTCCCAACCCCTGCACAACTACCACGTGAGGTGGGAGACAGCATGGCTGAGGACAATCCTACTCCAGGTAGTGGAAATGGGAGTTGTCAAAATGCCCAGGTCGATGTAGAGACTGACACCTCTGATGACATGGAGGATGGGGAAAGCCAAGAGATTGGCAAAAAGGGAGTACACTGGACCAAAGTGGCCCGTCATAGTAGAGATAGGAATAGAGGTGGAGGAAAAGGCAAACATCCAACATCCCAAATGCATCCATCGTCTCAAGAAGAGACTAGAGGAAAACAGGAACCCCTCACTGAACAGAGGACGAAGAAACGAATGCCCAGTCTCACTAGGATGGGCACCCCACCCACCTAGTAGAAGGCCAGGCAGTAGAAAGGCTGTATATAGTGCAGAGCATCAACAAGTTTTTAGTGTTGAATTGTGTCTTGGTTGACAGTGCACATTGCACTGAATGTTACATACATCACACAGATAGTGTGCACAATGCATATATGTTCCCATTGTGGAAGCTTTGGTTTGAAGTGGTATGTATTTATTTGATGATAAGTTACACCTTTAGTTTTTTCAATGGGTCTTAGCATCCTACAATGGAATGCACGAGGGCTCATTGGCAAATGGGCCGAGGCAAAACCCATGTTCATGCATGGTAACTTCAGCCTCATATGTATTCAAGAGACTCATTTCATGATGAATGACAGGTATACTTTCCGATTACCTGGATTTTCTGCGTATCATGAATACTCACGTCAAGGAGGACGGGGTGGAGGAGTGTCTATATATGTGTCTAACAACTTGTCACACTTCCAGGTACAGGTACACACTACATTACAGGCAGTGGTATGTTCGATAAGGGTCCAAAACAGACGAATTGCGATCTGTTCATTGTATCTTCCACCGAATGAGACCTTCTCTTTTACTGAGATGGACCAGTTGATCAAAGAGCTTCCTAAGCCCTTTGTCATTTGCACGGATGCCAACAGCAAACATATGATGTGGGGTAGCCAAATAAATGACACTCGAGGCAATATCTGGATGGATGTGATTAACTTGAATACCTTGTGCGTGTTGAACGATGGTCAACCAACTAGAATTGACGATTTTACAGGCCACGAGTCATTTATTGACTTAACTGTCACAACAAGCGACATTGCTCCCCTGATGGAATGGAATACTGACAAGGACCTCCATTCAAGTGACCATTTCCCCATACACATTAGAATGGGTTCTGATACAGGAACACCACCACCAAATGTTCCACCTTTATTTTCAGGTTGGAATATTAAGCGAGCTGATTGGACTGAGTTTCAGAGGCACTTTTCTTTTAAGTTTGATAGCAGAAATGGTGTTGAGAATTGTGACAACATGGTGGCAGCGATGCTGGAAACGGCCACCCAATTTATTCCCACCCGAAACTGTAACACTAGATACAAATGTCCATGGTGGAATGACCAATGCCGAAATGCCATTAGGGAGAGAAGGCGTGCTCAGAATCGAATGAGGAGAGACCCACACTCTGAGTTTCTGCGAATTGAATATCGTCGAGCCAAAGCAAAGGCTCATCGCACAATCCGTGAGGCAAAGGTAACTTCATGGAGGGAGCTCATATCGATGTTTAACCACCGAACACCAATGAATAAGCTATGGGAGACGCTTCGGAAATTTAACTACAAAGGTCGCATATCCCGACAATACCCGGTACTGTTTGAAAATGATGCAACAATCGATGATCCTCTTGAGGTGGCTAACACGTTTGGACGTTTCTTTGCTGGTCTGAGTGGACGTTCTATGTACTCTGATGTATTTTTACAACGAGAACGGACACTTGTTGATTCCATGCCGGACTTTGGGAGTGAGAACACAGAAGACTATAATAAAGAGTTTTCGTTCCGTGAACTGACTAATGCAATATCTAGATCAGGTTCTACTTCAGTTGGGCCGGATAAAGTGCACTATGAATTTTTCAAGCACATGGATGAAGGGCAATTGCGAGAACTGTTGGCACTTTTCAACTTTTTGTGGCTAAATAATGTTTTCCCACAAACATGGAAACATTCGTATGTTGTTCCTATATTGAAGCCGGGCAAGGACTGTAACAAAGTCAAATCATATCGACCTATTCAGTTAACTTCTGTTTTGTGCAAACTGATGGAAAGAATGATCGGGAAGAGACTGAGCTGGTATCTAGAGAGGTTTTGCCTGCTATCTAGGTTCCAGTGTGCCTTTCGGGAGAACAGGAGCACAATGGACCACTTGCTACGACTGGAGTCCCAGATTCGAGATGGATTCCTCCATCATAGCACTACAATTGGAATTTTTCTCGATTTAAAATCGGCATACAACATGGTGTCTCCTACTATGCTCATGCATCGTCTTTTTGATATGGGTTTTCGAGGACACTTGATGTACTTTGTCCAATCGTACCTAAGTCGACGAACGTTTCAGGTTCGATGTGGTGTGCTATCGGACACATTCTCTCAAGAATACGGACTTGTGCAGGGTGGGGTGTTATCGCCAATGCTTTTTAACATTGCTATTAACTCGATGTTTAATGATATCCCTCGCGGTGTCTCCTATGCCATCTATGCTGATGATTGCACGATTTGGACACAGGGTAGACGCCTACCTGAACTGTTTCACACATGTCAACAGGCTCTGCACAAAGTTGGTGAATGGGCGCTTAACAATGGATTTTCATTCTCAGCAGAAAAATCCACAGCGGTCATGTTCAGACGTGGATTAAGACATGTTGACCTGGGGTCTTACCCCACCCTTGTGATCAACAATGCAACCATTCCTTTTGCTGAACAGGTTAGATACCTGGGAGTTTTGCTAGACAGCAAACTAAACCTTAGAGCGCATGTAGAGTATACGAAAGCGAGGGCACAGAAACGAATCGCTCTTCTCAAATGTGTATCAGGCAAATCCTTTGGCGCTGATCGAGTGATTCTCCTTCGAATGTATAAAGCTCTAATTCGTCCTATTCTCGATTATGCTGCAGTGCTACTAGATGGGCCGGGCAGTCGCATTATTGATTCACTTGAGTGCGTACAGAACACAGCACTACGTATTGCGACTGGAGCACTGCGAACCAGCCCTGTACGATCAGTGCAGGTTGAAACCAACGTGGTTCCTCTTAGCCTCAGGAGGCAAGACCTATCCCTAAGATATTATCTCAAGGTACAAGGAGACATTCGACATCCATGTCGCAAAGTGGTTGATATGGAGAGCAACCAACACGTGTATGAAGGATTATCGGAACATTATATGAGAAGGATCTCTGGATTTCCTTTTTCACATAGGTTGTCCACCATGTGCAGGGAACTTGGTCTCCGATTACCACGAAACACGGTGAACCCACGTGGACTAATACCCCCCTGGCTCTTACCTGACGTTACCACGATGATGTTACTCAATGGCACGAGACACATGACAGAAACGGACATACATTTAGCGTTCCAAGATGTGCTTGCACAATATCCAGGTTTCCGGAGATTCTACACTGACGGTTCTAAGATTGATGGATCGACTGGTTGCGCTTTTACAGTGAATAATGCTTTCTTTTCCCACAAACTGGAGCCATGGATGTCTGTGTTTACTGCGGAGTTGGTGGCCATACGCGAAGCGCTTCGTTACATTTCGGATCATCGGGTTGACAAAGCAATGATCTGCTCGGACTCGCAATCCGCGATACGTGCTATAGCGTCTCACAATCGAGAACATTGCATTGTCATAGAGATTTCTGAGATTCTTTACCAGCTCTCACGTGATCGACGCCAATGTATCTTTCTGTGGATACCAGGACACAGTGGTGTAGCAGGCAATGTAAGAGCCGATCATTGGGCCAGAATGTCTCACCAGAAACCGAATGTCACACATGTTAATGCAGGGTACAGAGAGTTTCTGCCCATGGTACGCAAGAGTACCAAAGATAAGTTCGCTGAGATATGGCACGATTACCGCCCGACGCTCCTTAAAGAGGTTAAGCCAAATGTCGGCCAATGGATGTCGAGTTCTCGCAGTAATCGTAGAGAAGAAATCATACTGACGAGGATGCGATTAGGCCACACTCTTCTTACTCACAGACACATTCTTGATCGCGAACCTCCACCGATATGTGACCGTTGCCGATGTGCACTTGACGTTCCGCACATCTTGCTGCATTGTCGGAAATTCTGTGCCGAAAGACGGAACCTGGAAATAGAATGTCTCATATCCAATGTCCAGATGAATGTAGGATCTCTACTGGGAAATGAATTTCCCTTGATCACTGATGCTGTGTTTGCATATCTTACTGAATGCGGTGTTGCTCAGAGATTGTGAGACGATGTGATAAGCACTGTGATTTTGTGATGTCCAACACTGCTGTGACTTATTGGTGAACTAATTAGAGTGCGTGTTATCGATGCTCTGTATTGATTGTGTCTGTAGTTTAGTTAGACAATAGTCAGTTTTCACTCCCAAGTAGTTGTTCTAGAATCTACCGTATCCAGACCACCTCTTTGGTCTATGTAGCCTAGCTGAAACCCCAGTAGTGTAACCAGGATGCCACAACTACGGCCGAAAACTAACCGTTTCTGCCTCCGGCAGAGACCTTCATGTCTACATCCTCCCAAAGCAAGTCCACACCACGGCTATACCTATCCTAAATCCGTAACCCTGCTTAGTCACCCTGCTTAGTTCCCTTTACTCATTAAGAAGAAAAGAAGAAGAAAGACTGCCATCAAAAGAAGTTGGACGCAAGAGCCAAGCTGCTACGCGCCCTAACCCAGAACAACAACAACGTGCAATTTTACGCGCACAACAAAAAGGATACTATTACTGATACACTGTGCTAAAAGGTAGGTATGTTTGGGGATTCCATCCAAGCTCTTATACGGCCTTGCATCCAAGGATCATCCTTGGATTAGCATTTTATTATTATTCATTTTCGCATTTACCTATATTTTATATACTGTGGGCGTTTAATCAGTCTATTTTACCTTTGCCTTCTTTTTGCTCACCTTCACTGGACAAGACGGAAACCATTGTTGATTGTGATGCATACTTTGTTTGCATTCAATGTTGATGTGATAGAACGTCATTTGTTATACTTGCGGTAAAATGGCATTGTTAGTAGAAGTCAAGTGAAGTCAAGTGAAGTAGAAGTGAAGTGTGTGTACTGCGTACTGTGTTTCCACTGTTTCACGTACCTACTTATACCAGTATAACGCCTTTGGGGGCGACCAACAGAGCGAGTGAGAGGGTGGGCCTCGCACGTGCGAAATTGCAAAGGGGTACATCCAACTGATTTGTGCATGGCGCCCTACTAAACTTATCGGTCTCTAGCGATGTGTCAAATTTGTCCACAATTGGCCCAGCCGTTCTCGAGATCTGGAAGCGGCACCCTGCACGTGCGCACGTGCTAAATGGGTCCCAGCTGACTTGCATGACACCCTACTAACCGGTCCCTAACCGCGTACCAAACTTGAGTGCAATCGGTCCAGCCGTTCTGGAGATCTGGAATCGACCCCTGCACGTGCGCATCTGCAGCAGCACCCCAACTGTGGCACATGGATATGCATTGCCTAGTGGGTGCCTACCTACATGTCAAGTTTCAGCGCAATCGGCCCAGTAGTTACTAAGATATTGCAATTGTTACAAAACTGACACCTCTTCGTTTTGCATGTGGCACGTGCATAAGGGCCAAGGGGTCACCCACATGCATTGGGAATAGTCCAATACTTGTTAGAAGGAATGAAGCTACCCTACAAAAATTACCGCATGTAAAGCGGTCAAGTGGTTGCTGAGATATAAGCATCGCAAAAGCGTGACCATTGCCGGCCGCTCATCTCAGAAATTTCCGTTACTCTACATAAGACTCTGCTCGCTTCGCTCACTCATTAATCAAATCAAAAGCAAATCAAACTGGTTGCATGAAATTCAAGTTATAAGAGTACCTACAGAGCCAAAAGGGGGAAATACCATTTTTTGCAAATCATTTGCAATAATATGGTGATGGTATCTTGTTGAGGCCTGCATGTACTGCTCCACGTGAAATCTGCGCCACACCACTGACTGTTCATTGACACCTTGGCCCTGTTTCACCGGTGATAGCAGCACGCTGCTTTTACACGTGTCAAATTGGGTTTCCATGGAAACATCAACAGGCCCATTGCTCCAACACTACCACAAGTGTGACGTCAGCTCGCGCAATTTGATAGCAGCGTAGTAGCAGCGTCCCGTGAAACACCGCCCAGGTGCCTAGCCTTGTGCCACATTGGCCTGCACTCACGTGACCTTTCTGACATCAAACTTGCCATGCTTTGCAGTCTGGCTGCCCTCCATAAGGTTGAAGGTTAAACAAAGCCCAGCATGGGATGCCGATTGCCAATTGTAAGAAGCACTGTTATGTTTTCAATGCCACAATGATTCCATGATTGCATGTTGGCTGTTATTTATACCCACCTTGTTTCTCCACAGTCTGCTAGGCCCGGACATGTGTCCTGGCCGGCTCATTTCGCGCAGGCGGCTGCTGGCGGCTGGCCTCCTGCTCGCTGCCCTGGTGTGGATGGTGCTGAGGCTCACCGCACTCGGCCAACCGACTGCAGGGCCAGCCTCTGTCCCAGCAGCCCAGCCTGTCGGTCACAGCGGGTCAGTCCTGCTGGCCGTCAGGACCAGTGGCCAGCTGCACTCGCTGCGCCTGCCAGTGCTGGCCAGGACTTGGCTCAGGGACAGCAGGCCAGACATTCAGGTCAGCGCTGCCTAAACTGCACCAGATGCAACCCTAGGCCCACTCCTGGCTTTCCTAATAATTTTGCCTTTCTTATATCTTTTCTTGTTCTGTATAGATGTGAAGCACTCCATGCCTAAAATAATTCATTTTTGTGTTACAAGCCCATAGAGTGCATGTGGAGTTTAAATTTTAATACATATAGACATTGTGTTGCTCATGGCCTGTATTGCTCTGCATTTCTTATTCAACATTTTTCTTCATGTTTGCATGCACTTGCTCTCTTTAGCCTCTCATTAATTTTTTAATTTCCCATCATGGATTGCATGCTTTTGAAGCATGCATTGAATTTTGATGTCAGGCCATGTTTTTCAGATTCGTCTGTTTTCTGACATGCCTTCTGTAAAGGAGTTTGTGAAGTTACTAGGTAGGTATTGGCATGTTTTCAGTGTGCAGATTTTGTAGTGTTCTGTATCTGAATATTTCCTTGGTAGTCACTTGAGATATGTCATCCGTTTTCCATAGCATGCTAGCAAAGTGGAAAGTCCAAAATTGTGAAATTTTGAAGCATGTTTTCAAATGTAAGGAAACTTTCTCGAACAGTGTGCGATTACTTTCGTTTAGCTACTACTCGACATTGACAGTTATATTGGCAGCGATCTAAAGACAAAAACACATCTTATTCACCGCGCGTTTGCGTACAGTGCTGCCACAGCAGCTGCCGTGCTGTACTCTAACTGCCCCCGTTCCCCTCCGTTGCCGCCGTCGTCAGCCGGTGTTGGTGTGGAGGTGAGCAGCCGCTGCGGTCAGGGACACACCGCCTCCGTACTCTGCTGCCGGCTGGCCCACGAGATCGCCGTCTTCCTCGACACGCGCCACGGGTGAGCCGTGAATACGTGCCACGGGTAACACGCGCCTTCGCAAACACGCGTCACGGGTAACACCGAACACGTTCCATGGGGATGGTGGTAGGTCCGTGGCAGGGAAAGAAGAAGGGGACTGAGGCACACTCACTCTTTGTGTGGTACGGGAATAGTGACATCATTAGATGGCATCGGAGGTTAATTTGTTTATGTCGCGTGAATATCCTGTCCTGGCTATTGTATAAACTTTAAATGTTAGGGATGGTGCTAAATTAGTAATAACAAAACAAAATATGCCAATAAGCCTTTTTTCTTGATGCGACGAGCGACTAGCATGTCCTCTGTTCAGCGTACTTGGAATAGAAAAGTCACGATGTTGAATGGTGTTCCCCCACATTAATTTTTCATTTCAATTTCGCGCTCCATTGCAGGTGGTGGTGTCATTTCGACGACGATAATTACGTGAACACGGTGGCGGTGGAGGCCATGCTGGCCTCTTACGACTCTCGGCGGCCCTGGTATATCGGTCGGGCGAGCAGCGACGCCACCTATGGACGAGGATCGCACACTCAGCTTGTGAGATTCGCCACGGGCGGCGCTGGATTCTGCGTCAGCAGGGCTGCTCTCATGCAGGCGACCAAGGGAATTCTGTGAGTAGACTGTTGGTACACTCTCTTGCTGCTGCTTGTGCATACTTGGTATGTGTGTGTTTGCTTCTTTTGACTCGTCACAACTATTCTTATATAAAAGTTCAAACTCACCACAAAGTTTTATCCGAGCATTTAAAGGGACTATCCCACCTTCTAAAATGTTGTTAAAACCAGTTAAATTGTGCCCAACTTTATAGATTGGATGACCAGGAACACGATTCTGGCATTTATTTTTCATTAAACATCTTAGGCTTCCCATATTCCAAACACAAACTTTCAAATATGTGACGTCACAGCCCAAAATTACCTCCTTCCCCAGGCCACATTACTGTCATAAAGCTGATTCTTTTTACTCTGTAGGCACCACAACAAAGCTCAGACCAAGTTTTAAGCGATTTTTCAACGAACAAACCCATTTAAATCAGAATGACTAAACGAGGTGACGTCATACTAACGGTCGCTCCATGTTGAAGATAGGGCCTTGTACAAGGCCCATTTTCAAATGAAGGGAACGAATTTCTTCAACACCAAGAGGCCGCGGGGGTTGCAACCTAGATAGATAGTGGTTTCTGAACCTCGCCGCAAACTTGGCTATCTCAACTCAAACCTCATGTTAAAGGTGGGATAGTCCCTTTAACACCCACGTTCTGTTATCTTTCCGCAGACACGGCCAGTTTGAGAGCGCGTGCGCGAGACTCCGACTGCCCGATGACGTCACACTGGGCCACATCCTCTGTAAGTCCGTCTCCGGGAAAGGCTGCTCTGAGTCAGGTTTACTTTACAACAGCTCAGTGGACTGGGGTGTAACTTGCCGTGACGACCAACTCGGATGTTTTTGGTTAAATTATCGTATAGCGATTCTAGCCGGGCTCATTGTTAGATATAATGGTTATTTTTTAGACATGTGTTGCTGCCTTGTGAGATGCTTTAAATGGGGGAAAGAACAGTAACTCTGATAGCGCCATTTTCGTTACTCTTGAGTTTCTACCTGACTCGACGGATGGTAAATCCTAGTCGTGTACGGTTCTGTATGACCCCTCTGTCCCGCGCCCAGGGAACCCCTGCCGCATGTGTCTCTATAACCACTCTGTCGTCCCCCAGGGAACTCGAGCCGGGTGTGACTATAACTGGCTCTGTCGTCCCCCAGGGAACTCGAGCCGGGTGCGGCTGACCCACGTGGACGAGTTCCACTCGCACCTGGAGCCGCTGGCCGCCCTCCCGCGCGACTCTCTCGCCTACCAGGTGAGGTTTGCTGGCTAACGGGCGCGCACAAAATAAGCGGGCATATGTGAGGACCGAGGATTTCGGTGGGCACCATAGGAAGGTGGTGAGGGCCTTCGATGAGCTGTTGATTGAGACGCATGTAGTCAACCATGAGTTCCCGTTTCTTTTATTATGAAAAACATCAGACATTTGAGGCTGTTTTGTCTTGTCTGATATAGGTGGTGTAGTCGCGAGTCGGGGTGTGTGTTCAGAAGGTGATCCTGATCCGTCTGTGGCTCGGTGACCCATAACGAACTGTTGTGCCTTAAAAGTTTTATGGTATGCCGTTTATCCTGCCTACTATAGCGTGCATTAATGTCTGAGTGAGTTGGGTGACTTTGCGATGCAATGTCGTGTTCCAGGTCAGTCTGAGCTACTTCCTGCAGCGTCATCCACCCAACACGGTGGATGTGGAGGGACTGGACAGGGAGCAGGATCCCACCCGGTGAGTGGGCGCTCTGGAACAGCGGGAGCTGGCGGTTCGTGTCTTTGGCTACCCCTTTCTGGCGAGAAGGGAGGCGTGGACAATTTGCATGGGAAGCCATTCATTTAAGATATGTATTTGTCGTCTGTACTCAGTACCCTAACTATTTGCATGACATTTAAAAAATAAAAATGTTGTTAAATATCGCAACGCACGGACAATTCAGCTGCCTAGTCGCGACGGGGGTCTGGTGTAACTGAGCTGGGACTGGGAGCGACTTGGCCTGTCGGGCTTCTTCAAACGTAATCTTAGCTCGTCAGACACAGGCCGACCTGAACGTGATCAACTCTCGCACTCTGTTGATATATTTTGACGACTTTTTACCCTAAAATCAGTGCAACGAGTTTTTGAATCCGACAAAAATCGCCGGTTTGAAATAGACGGAAGTAGCCACCATAGGCTAGCCATCAATTAAAAAATCAAGAGCAAAACAAAAGTTATGACTTGAGCGACCTGACTTGATCGATCGCTCAACCCAAATCTCCCTTAGTCAAAGAACTGATGTGTGTCAGTTTACACATACCCAATGCCCCGATGTCGTCAGCGGTCAGGGAAGCATCAGATGGCACGCGTGGAATGCGGATTGTCAGCCGAACTTATCTCGTTTTCGTTTGGGTTTCAGGTTCATCTCGCTGCATTGTCTGCTGCACGGGCTCAGGAAGTGCTCGTGACCGGCATGAATGGGGCTAGGGGCCGACTGGTGTGAGCCTCGTGACGTGATGTCCTGAAACGTGATTCGGGACAGGCTGTGGCGCCACCCGTGACTGACTCCAGATGAATTCCGGTCAGTGATGGCAGTCGGAGCAGTGAATGTCGGCGATCGGTTCAGGGGAGAGAGGAACGTCTGGGATCCGCACGGGCGGACCGTCTGAACTCTTAGGCCGGCACGAGAGGGCCGTCTGAGGCCGGCACAGGAAGGCCAACCGTCATCTGAGTGGATGCTCGAGTTGGCAGATGACTAAAGGTATGGTGTGGTTGGAGAAGCAAATGAACACCGGCTGTGATTGTGTTATGCATAGGACGTTTCCGAAATAATGCTGTTTTGAGTTTTATATGTCGTCAGTTGCCGTCGTCTGTGTAGTGTGAGTGTTCATCGTTTTGACATCTATCGCTGTTATTGTGTAGAAATGGCATCGGCTAGGACCGACTGCAGCTAATCGTGATTCCGCTGGAAGTCGAACTCCGCGAATGAAGTGTTGTTTGTCGCGGATTATTGTTTTACCGTAATATCGGGACGTCAGTGCAGACGTGCAGGCTGTGAGCATTGTACTTACCCAATGCATGCTATGAACATTCTACTGCTTTTTTCAGAGCGTGTTTTGTCTTTTCCTTTCAGCGTTGCGACTGGTGCCTGCACGGAGAGCGTTTATGGAGACAATTTTATCTCTATGTCCTCCTATTTCAATTTTGGATGAGCATAAGTTTTGCACAAATGTCAGGGAAGTCAGATTTGTTTTTCAATAGAAAAACATTATTCGTGAAAAACGTTATTTTAACGAATAGTGTTTTTACGGAGCGAGCGAAGCGAGCGGAGTCTTACGTAGAATAACGGAAATTTCTGAGTATGAGCGGCCGGCCGGCCGGCCGGCCGGCCGTGCGGACGCTTTTGCGAGGCTTATATCTCAGCAACCACTTGACCGATTTACACGCGGTAATTTTTATAGGGTAGCTTCATTCCTTATACCAAGTATTGGACTATTCCCGATGCAAGTGAGTGACCCCTTATGCACGTGCCACGTGCAAAACGAAGAGGTGTCAGTTTTGCAATTGTTGCAATATTTCGGTAACTACTTGGCCGATTGCGCTGAAAGTTGGCATGTAGGTAGGCACCCACTAGGCACTGCATATCCATGTGCCAGAGTTGGGGTGCTGCTGCACGTGCGCACGTGCAGGGGTCGTTTCCAGATCTCGAGAACGGCTGGACCGATTGCACTCAAATTTGGTACACGGTTAGGGACCAGTTAGTAGGGTGCCGTGCACAAGTCAGTTGGGACCCATTTTGCACGTGCGCACGTGCAGGGTGCCGCTTCCAGATCTCGAGAACGGCTGGGCCGATTGTGCTCAAATTTGGCACATCGCTAGAGACCGGTTAGTAGGGTGCCGTGCACAAGTCAGCTGGAGGTACCCTCTCGAAATTTCGCACGTGCAAGGCTCACCCTCTCGCTCGCTCCGTTAGTCGCCCAAAAGGCGTTATACTGGTAATATTGACAACCGGTTACATGCATTTTGCACGGTGACTATAAATACGGTGATCTCATCTGGATTTGGTCACGTGATCATTTTCGAGCGCAGCGCACGTGCAGTTGTGGCGAGGGCACTTCCAGAAATTCTGGATCCATGCGATTTTGGAGCCAATGTAAAGTCTATGGGGAAATGGTTCATTTTTATTTGTTTTTCTTATCACACCTAAACTTTCAAGTTTTTCTCAAAGATACACCCTGATTCATGTGTAGAATTGATTGGTCTTTCATATGGTATCAATTTTAGATTTTTATCGGATAATTTCAAAAACTACTTACCATTTAAACTACAAAAAGAGGTGATTGCGGCTAAGCATTGCGACAGCCATGTCATGTCATTGGGAAATTACGATTTCTTGTGCATCTTCATTTTAACTGTTCTCGAAGCCAGTACCTACTGGATGATTCATGCGTAGAATTTGTTGAACTTTTGTCTTTTGTCACTGTTAATGCCTTTATGAAATAATTCATCAAATCATTTCGCCCCGGCCGACATGAACGCCGCTGTGAGCCGGTTTTGGCGTCGGGGAGAGAGAGAGAGAGAGAGAGAGAGAGAGAGAGAGAGAGAGAGAGAGAGAGAGAGAGAGAGAGAGAGAGAGAGAGAGAGAGAGAGAGAGGGGACGGGGACGGGGACGGGGACGGGGACGGGGACGGGGACGGGGACGGAGACGGAGACGGAGACGGAGACGGAGACGGAGACGGAGACGGAGACGGAGACGGAGACGGAGACGGAGACGGAGACGGAGACGGAGACGGAGAGAGAGAGAGAGAGAGAGAGAGAGAGAGAGAGAGAGAGAGAGAGAGAGAGAGAGAGAGAGAGAGAGAGAGAGAAGACCAGGGGCCATCGGTGAGGCGGCGTACCCGCGCGGGAGCTCCACGCCAGGTACTGGGAGCGGGCTCGCCTTTTCCTCGTAGTGACCCATCAAGGCTGGGCGGCGGCGGTACTAGTTTCGCAAGGGACAGACATGGAGCGACTCGGGACTCGTCTCAGTCCGGCCGCTACCCAGCCGCCCGCCGCGCCTGGCCGGGCAGCTGCTTCGCCGGCCGGGTGGCGCAGGCGGCCCTCCCGGCTCCCGCCCGTCTGGGATGCGCTCCCCAACCGCAGGGCGTCGGCGGCGCCCAAGAGGCATAAGAATAACGGCGGTGCTGCGGGCGGCTTGTGGGGTGACGGTGCCGCGCTCCTTCCCCGGCTCCTCGCCGTCCGTCCCCTCTCCCCGATGCCGTTTTCTTCCAGGGGAGGCGCCCCGGCCGCCGTGCCGGGGCGTAGCGCAGTCTGTGCTTTAAGTACAGCAAGATATTCACCCAGGCTAGATTAAGGTCACAACAACCTAGGATTAAGGGTGGCTACAGACTTTAGACTTAATGCAGACTTAACATGAAGGTATTATATATGCAACTAAATGACACACATGGTATTTGTTCTAACCTTCTCAACAGAAAGTGAACATGTCAGGACAGCACCCCTCGATGACCATTATACTCAAGGGGTGTAGGCACTGATTCCCCAGGGGTGAAGTGATAGGAGCACAAACATGAGTCACTAGTTGGCTCTGTGTCTTTCCTCCTGCAGGAAAAAATATATGTGTGATGCCCAATGTGAGGTAACTGCATATTATAAAGCTGGAAATATTGTACAAAGTTATGACAACACAAGCAAACTATGCATGTTACTGCTCTTGTTCTTGCTATATTGATATGAGACCTCACAAGACACAAAATATGCATGGTAAAAAGGGAGCAACAATACATTTGAAATGTAGCTTGTCATTAAAATGATCATGAATTTCACTACATCAAAAGTGAATGAAATTAAGTGATAATCAAAGACTGGAAAAGAAGATCAGCATAACTACATAATATGTCTTGTTTCCAAATCTAAAGTATGATCCTCAATGTTGCAAAAGTTGGTTGACTTTAACAATAACTTTGAATAAAAAAACAACATATGGTAAACAGTCACACTTCAAGGAAATCGCAAGATCCATCCAACCTTTGACATGCCCTGTTTGGAATGCTGTTAACATGCTATGATCTTCACAGAATAGGTAAAATCAACTCAAAATATTACATTCTTTTATTACAAATCATATCTTTCCATGAACTTCATTATTGTGACTGCAGAGCTCATTCAGTCAATCAGAGACTGTGCAGAGACTTCATCATTCAAACAATCTGAGAATCAATGTGCAGAGACTAACACTTTAAAATCTAGTGACATTTCACAAACATCTTTTATGCTACAAGCTTATGCTTACCAAACACTTTTTCATGACTCAAATATGGTGGTGTTTACTTTAAGTGAAAACATTCATCCAGCACTAAGCAGATTATTTCTAAGCTCCACAAAGTCCCAATTTCTGTTATATTTCGCTTGGAGTCACTTCATAGTTTGAACTCAAAGTGCCTTGTGGATTTACCTCAGTTATGTAGGTAAATCCACAAGGATTGATGGGCTTTACCTCAGTTATGTAGCTGCTCCCTCAATTTAAGTTTCTCGTTAAATTTCACTGAGGCGTTGCAAGATGGGCTGTAGCCAAATTCACTTCCCTGTTCGGCTGATGCTCACAATACCTGGACATTTTTTAATTCCAATTTTTGTAGCTGTTAACAATTGCTGAAGGCCCAAGTACCTAGACAACAATGACTTTACAGAGGAAACCCCTGGCTGTGTTTCACGGGCGCGCTGGCGCTGCCAGCGCAATCTGTGAGCTAGCGTCAACCTCTGGTAGTGTTGGAGGTATAGGCTTGTTGATGTCTCTATGGAAATCAAAAGTGGCTGGCAAGTGTCGCGAAACACCACCCTTATTTTTGCACAATAATGGTATGATAACTGTTGCTGCAAGAAAATATAAGGTGAAGTGAAGACGTGAAGTAAAATCAGGTCAGACATTAATATATACCCAAAAATAGCAGTGTATGGAGTACCTATATTCACATTACCAATAATATGATGCACAACAGGCCATAGAAAAACAGGTGAATATGGAATTGTAACCCAATTTCAATATCAACATGGCACTTGGCATTAACAGTAAAACACAAAGTTTTTGATGTTAAATCAACAGAGAAAACTCCTGAACATAAACAAAATGATCAGAATGTATAATAAGGATAAAAGTATAAATAAAAATCGACGAATCAGCCTATCATCGCACTTACACATTCACCACTCCCCATTCCACGCACAGATTGTTTACCCCTTGGCTTACCCCGTGTTCGCAGTCTCCCGGACGACGAAGATTCTAAACGCCGTCCGACCAATCACGTTCAAGATCAGCGGGGCTTGGCCGCGGTTCTCGAACGTCATTGGCCAGATTACGCAGAATCTTAGTCGTCAGCAAAACGTTGAACACGGGGTTATATTTTTCGCTATGGTAACAAAAGCGCCAGAATTGACTACCAGAATTGGATCCGAAGGTCAAATGGGTCACGTGACTGTGCAGTTCAGATGGACAACACCTGGCATTTTGTATCGTCTGCTTTTCAATTCACGTGCATATAGTTGCATCATATTCACATTCAGATTCGCGTGCACATTCGCGGACCCCTTCGATTTGGCTGAAAATTGCACAGCAGATAGACCATGAGCTCCTAAGTGCAAAAATCATCTTTTTATTTACCGACATTAAGTATTTTCCAAGTTATTCACGTTTGTTTTACTAGTACAATATTCTGGTTAGTAAACTTCCCGGAAAAATCGGACCTCATCAAATTTCAAGAAAATTTCAGAAATGATTAAGACTCAGTAGTGCTTTACAAAAAAACTAATTTGCATCAAACGGGGTCGCATAGTTTTCTCAGGAGAAGTCTCTAAAGTTCAAGGTCGTTCAAGGTCATGCAATTTTTCTCACTTTTTGGAGTCGTTTTACACGTGACAGCTTCGTATTTATGAAGGACATTAGCTATACATACTGCAATAACAATATACTTAAGCACCAGAGGCATTGTTAGACCAAAGGGCGAAAAACAGTCGATAAACCTATTGAGCAAAGCCAAGAGGCAAATACAAGTGATATTCAGATTTCTCGTCCTAAAGTGAACTTGCCGGACCCCTCCGA